AAAAATATTATAAATAGCAAAGAGTATAAAGGTTTTTAATATTCTGGGTATATATTAAGGTATTAAATTAAGCTCTGGTTATATATATATGTTGTAGCCCAGATGCAAATCGGCCCAATTGTCAATTGGGCTAGCCCAGATCGCAATTTCATTTTGGGCTACCATTTTTGTCCCAGATGCAAATTGCAGATCATTAATAAATGGCCAGCCAATAAAAATAAGTAATACTAATCACATGATTATTCGATATTAATTACATTAATAGAAATTCAATAAACATTTCAAAAAATCTATAATTATTACAGTAATTATATATTAGTTATTATAACCAATATAAAACAATTTTATTTTAATTGTTTTTGTATTCAACAATTATTTTTGCATCTAACATTATTTGGATGACAATGAGTACTACAAGTTGCACCCGCCTTTTTACATTTACAATGGTTTTTTAAACAATCACCTTTGCAAAGACATTTGGTTGCAGTTATAGACCCAGAGCTTTGCTGTATTGCAGCTTCATGGGCACTTACACAGGGTTCAGAAATAACTACAAGCTCTGGATATTCTCTAAAAGTTCCAGTAACAGAAACCAATTCAATGGCTGAATAATGCTCATTTAACCTTCCATATTGGCAACCCAAAATATATATTTCATTCTCAGTAATTTCCAACACTTTACAAGGTATGTATCATCGATCAATACCAACACGATCAACTTCAGAAATTCGAATTTGAACTAAGTCGTTTTGTTCAAATTTGCGTGGATGTTTTCTTCCTTTTTCCATTTGTTCCCTTATTTTTTCCGTATAAGTTTCCAAATGATTAATGGCTTCAGCTTCTATAATGTTTTGAGTTGCATGAAAAGACAGAAAAGGGCGTGAAACTTGATTCTTAAAAAAAAATATATATATTATTAATACTTATTAAACATATTTGCCTTTGATTTTTAAAAATCAAATACTTACCATTCTCGCAGTCATATTACTTAATGGCAACCTCTAAATAAATATTGATATTCAGTTTAAGAATCAAAAATATAATATCCATATTTAAAATGTTTAAATTATACTCCCATATTTCTAACGGCATTTGGTGGAGGTTGAGAAACCTAAAATTTTAAATATAAGTTAATCATTTTTCAATAAAAGTATTGCTTCTTATTTATTACAGTACTTACCATATTTACTACTGCATCTGGTGGTGGCGGCAGTGACAAAGAAACCTAAAATTCAAGGATAAAATAAATTATTATTATTATTATTATTATTATTTATACTAAATACTTACTACATTCAATATCACATTAGGTGATGGCGGAAATTGTGAGATCTGAAGTTTCAAATATGCTCAGTTAATTTTTCAATCAAAGCTTGAACTTTTTATTTATATATTACCACATTCTCATTAGACGAAAGCAATGGTGGAACCTAGAATTTTAAAGATAAGTATAATTGACATATCAAATTAAGTATTAATAATTTAATTAATAATTACCACACTCTTCGATGATAGTAGCGACAAAACCTAAATTTCCAAAAAAAAAAAAGAAAAAAAAAATATAAATGATAAGTATGAATGGCCATTTCTCATTTGAAATATTATTGCTTACTAATATTTACCATATCTTCATCATGCGGCAACAACAGCGAAACCTGAAATATGAAGAAGAGTATGGTTAATTATTTTTAAATTGAAATAATTATTATGGTTCAGTATTTACCACATTCTCATTAGGTGATGGCGACGGCAAAACCTAAAATTTTAAAGACATATATAAGCTGTCATTTTAACCAAATGCCATTTTTTATTCAAATATCTACCATATTTTCCACGATATTATATAGCAAAGGCAATGGTAAAACCTAAGATTTCAAAAAGAAATATAATTATCATAATTCACTTGTAGGCATCATTTCCTAATTCAATACTTAACATATTTTTCTCCACATTAGATGGCAACGAATTCTAAAAATTTTTAAGATAAGTATAAATAATTTAACATTTAATGCTTAATTTCAGTTATTATTTCTTATTAAATACTTACCATATTCTTCATCACGTTGGGCGGCAGCTGCGGCAAAATCTATAATTTTTAGATAAGTATAGATATTTATTTTCAATTAAAGTAATATTCTATATTCAATCCTTACCATCATTTCAAGAGTGATTTCACATTTTGATACTTAATTAAATTACACTTTAATTCCGATACTTACCATCATATTAGGCAGCGGCGACGAATTCTGTTTTTTTTTTAAAGTAAAAACAATTTTGCACTTTAATATTTAATTATAGTTATTTTACACTTTAATTCTAATACTTACCATCATATTAGGTGGCGGCGATGACAAAGACGAATTTTGATTTTTTTGTTGTTGTTAGAGTAAAAACGATTTCACATTTTAATTACAGTTATATACACTTTAATTCCAATACTTACCATCATTTTAGGCGGCGGCGGCGACAATGAAGACGAATTCTAATTTTTTTGTTGTTGTTAGAGTAAAAACGATTCACATTTTAATTATAATTATATACACTTTAATTCCAATACTTACCATCATATTAGGCGGCAGCGGCGACGACGACGAATTCTGTTTTTTTTTTTTGTTGTTGAAGAACGATTTCAAATTTTAATGCTTAATTACAGTTATATACACTTTAATTCTAATACTTACCATCATATTAGACAGCGGCGGCGACAACAACGAATCCTGTTTTTTTTTTTTGTTGTTAGAGTAAGAATGATTTCACATTTTAATTACAGTTATATATACTTTAATTCTAATACTTACCATCATATTAGGTGGCGGCGGGACGACGATGAATTCTGCTTTTTTTTTTTTTTTTGTTGAAGAACGATTTCAAATTTTAATGCTTAATTACAGTTATATACACTTTAATCATAATACTTACCATCATATTAGACAGCAGCGTCAACGACAAATCCTGAACCATTATCATTATTATTATTATTTGTTGAAGTAAGAACGAATTTCACAATTTAATACTTAATTACAGTTTAATTCTAATACTTACCATCATACTAGGCGGCAGCGGCAACAAACCCTGAATTTTTTTTTTGAAGAACGATTTTACATTTTAATACCTAACTACAATTAATACATTTTAATTCTGATACTTACCATCGTGTTAGGCGGCAGAAGCGACGATGAATCCTTGAATAAATTTTTTTTTTGAGAAATGATTTCACATTTTAAATGCTTAATTCCAATTATACACATTTGAACTATAATATATACTTACCATCATGTTAGGCGGCAGCGGCGACAAAGAACCCTGATTTTTTTTTGTTTAAAAATCGATTTCATATTAATTAATTACAACTATATACATTTTAATTCTAATACTTGCCATCATGTTAGGTGACAGCGATAATGAATCCTAAAAATTTGAATCATTTCACATTTTAAAACTATTCTAAAACTTAAATGCTTTCATTTTTGATGCTTAATGCTTACCATATACTGCAGTATACCATTAAATTGTGGGGAATTCTAAATCAGAAGATAAATTAGAGAATTTAATTTTCCTCTCTATAAATAAATAAATACTTACCATTATGAAAGACATGTTATCTCTATTATTATTTTCGCTTTGTGACAGATTATGAATCATATTTTCATTAAATTCATCATCGTAATATTCGGTTTGGACGTTATCTTCATTAACATCAAACTGAATATCATCATCATCAATTTGAACGTCGTCAGGAATATTTTCTTCGTACCGAATTCCTTGAGACCAAAGCTGATCAATAAGAACACAATGACCACGAGGTTCGTGACCAAAAACCAACTCAAATGGCCTTTTATTAGTAGCACGACATATGGATAAATTCATTGAATAAACTATAGTTGCCAAACCAACTGTCCAGCATAAATCCTCATTTTCATTTTGACGATCTTCAAGCCACTTCCCAAGTTTATCTTTCAATATATGATTCGCCCTCTCCACGGAACCTTGAGTTTGTGGTCTCCGCGGCTTTCCATAAATGATTTTAAGATTTGGCCAAAGTTTTGAGAGATTGTTAATGATATCTGCCATGAATTCACGCCTATTATCACTTTGTAGAAAGATCGGTAGACCAAATACAATAAAGATGTCAAACAAAAACACAGCCACTTTTGCTGCACATTTTTCTGTAAGAACACGGGCCCGTGAAAAACGAGTGAAGTAATCTCTGGCATGCGCAATCCATTTATATTCACCATCCTTTCTTGTTCGCATATCAATAAGATCAATCTAAAAAAAAAAAAAAAAAAAAACTTCTTGTTATTAATAAAATTTAATTTTTTTTTATTTAAAAAAAAAAAAAAAATTGTATGTATTTTATACCTGAAGTTGTTGCATAAAAAATTTACTAATAATAGGTTTTATGGCTAAAGGTTTGATAGATAATCTTCGCATTTTACATGTTTTACACTTTTCAACAAATTTATCGACCAAACATCTTTTTATACCATGGTATTTATTTGATACTTCTGCATAGGTAGCTCTAGCACCTCCGTGTCCAATAGCCAAATGTTTCTCTGCAATAATGTAGTATAATCTCTCTTTTAAAGCTACAGGTTTCCAATTATTTGATGATTTTTCTTTATACATTAATATCACAATTTCACCGATTCTTTGAGATGAATAGTTACTTTTAACTTGGTGGCATATATTAGGATTTGCAATAGAAGTATTTTTAGGATTATTTAAAATCTGCAAATATTCATTAGCCATGTTCTCTGTAATTAATGCTTTTGATCTCTTTTTCTCACTTAAGGATTGTAAATATTCATATATAATTTCATCAAATGTTTGAAACGCTAAAAAGGCATATTCGTTAAATGAAGCCATTTCAAAAAAAAAAAATTAAAAGCAAAAAATTTTATTTATATTGTTATTGCATATATCATGATTAAATTTTAAACTTCGCAATTGCTATGATGTAATAAAAACGTAATTCTTATTCTTTGTTATAACTGTATAATGTGTACTTATAACTTGTACTTATAACAACAATTTTGCACTTATACGTAGTAAGAAAGAGTTCTTAAAAGCTTATAAAATAATTTAATGTAGTTCTACGATATTGTATATATACTAAACTTTATAATAATTTTAAAAAAAAGTTCATAAAACGTATGCAAAAAGATTTAAAAACGATTGTTAATGATACCAATACGTATGTACGACGATTGTTAATTGATTATTACCTAAAAATGTAAGTATGATCTGCAATTTGCATCTGGGACAAAAATAGTAGCCCAAAATGAAATTGTATCTGGGCTAGTCCAATTGACAATCGAGCCGATTTGCATCTGGGCTACAACATATATAAAAGTTTATAATAAACAAGTTTAGGATCTATCAATCTCTAAAGTTTATAATATAAATAGTAGTACAGCATTATTAGAATTAGTATAACTTCTTGAATATAATCAGAATTGTTCTGGTCTTATATAATAATATACTGAGAGCAAGTATTATATAGTAGTATAACATTATTAGAGTTGATATAACTTTTTGAATATAATCAGAATTGGTCTGTATACTTGTGAAATACATCTTAAACTTCACTATACTTCAGTCAGAAAATATACTAAATTGGAAAATCAGATTCTAGAATGATCTACATATTAGATCTTGATTGTCTCTTGTGCACTTATTCTTATATTTTTTAGAAAATTTTTATAAATTTAATTATTAAAAACTTACAAGTAGACACATAAATAGATAGTAGAAGACCTCTAGTTTAAATAATTTACAATAATCTACTTGAGTTAATTCTTGTCAAAAAGTAGATAAGACTTAAAATTTAACAATCAGGTTTATACAAGCTAAAATGTAGAGTATAATTTCTGGCTTTTATTATGTAATTAGTAATTTTTTATTGCAGTACTGTTATTATTTATTTTAATCAATATTACATCTTGATACCAGGCTAATTTTACTCTTATTGATTAGTTAATAAGCATAAAGATCTTTATTAATCTGCATATTAAATTGACTACTTTAGTTTAGCATTTACTTTATTATAATCAATTATTATTGAAGTTTATGATAATGTTTTATATTTAAATAAACTATTTAAAAAACTTTATTAATTGTACAATTTTATTATTTGTATTAAGTTAGTAATTTGAACTAATTAAGAATGCTCTCAAGCATCTAAATGAATAGATCGGTGCAATTAGTAGAACATAATTTGAATAGTCAAGTAAGCTTGTCATTGCAATAAAAAAATAGTCTAGACTATCTTTTTGATTATAAAGTTATGTTTATTGATTAAATTTAACATCTGTATTTCACTAAATAAACCTTTAGCAAAATTGCTATAAGAATAACCTCAATTAATTATAGTGCTTGTTTACTAGCTGAGTATATTGAGAAAGATGCTTGAGAGTACTTTAAATTATAATTAGAACCAAAGAGAACTAATTGATCTGAACAGTAAAAAGAATAATAGGGTTCTGAAACTATAGTATATCAAAAAAAATGAACTATACAAATACTAAAACTAATACTATTGAGAGCTATTCTAATTAACTCTAGTGGATCTCCTTTAGTATAGGTGGGCATATATAAATTATTACAAGATCATAATATATAAAACCTAACCAATTTAAGCTAATTTAGACTCAACCTTAACCTGACTCTAATAATTTATAAAATTACTTAAATTAGTTTAAAATAGTTAAGTTATATATGTTATAATTATATAATAATTATATATGCCTACTTATACTAAAGATTAACCCTTCAGGATTAGATATTACAATATTTTAAATATTTAGAAGTAAGTTTCTAGAAATTTTAACAATTGTACAACTTTTGAATCACAATATCTAGATGCTGATTTCTCCTTTCACAACTAGGCATTTTTCTATTATTTTTATATCTTGAATAGTTGAGTATAAGTGAAAATAAAATTTTTGCTTATACATATAGTATTTAAGATATAGCTAATGTTATTACTGCTTTCAATTCAGGGCACTAGTGGGTGCTTTGCAGAAGGAAGTAATAACTGATAGGTCAGAGTTTAGCAGAAAGTTAATATTTAAAAGTGTAGTTTAGAATTATAAAAGAATTAAATAGAAAATAAAGAAATAATTACAAGAAACAAGACTCAAGTACTAGGTGCTATTGGGTGCTAATAAATGCTTTGAGGACTAAATTGAATTAAAGAAAGATAAACACAAATAAAAATAAACAAAAAAACAAAACTAATAAAAAGAAACTAATATAAAAGAACTTTTCTCAAAAAAAATTTAATAAACAACTTATTTATTAATAAGCAACTAAAAAATTATTACAATTCTGTTATAAATTGTTCTTTTTGAGGAGGGAAAAAAGGGAGGCTATTTATAATGTTTTTAGACTTTATAGAATGTTTTAGAACTATGTATAGGGCGGGCAAGCCCATTTACGCGGAGGACCATTTATATGACGGTCAGACCCAACGTACAGGGCAGACTATGGAATCC